AATTCCAGGACCTTGAGATCATGACCTAAGCCAAATGCAGATGATTAACCATTTAACAAACTGAGCCACTCAGGCACCCTTAGGCAGGTTGTCTCTTAAATCTCTGCCTGTTCTTACATTTCCAAGTACCTTCTGGACATCTTCACTAAAAGGGCCTATCAACTACTTAAAATTTGTATCGAAGTGAACTTTTTGCCTCCTTGCCACCTGACCTCATCCTTGCCTCTTATTTTGTTCAGTTCCTAGCATTGTCACTGAGTCCTATGGAATCCATTATAATATATTCTGAATTTCTTGCTTCCTGTCTTTGTCATCTCATCTATTATGACTTAGGTCTTCATTAGCTCTCCTCAGCCTGGGCCTCTTGCTTCTCAAACCAGGCTGGATGGACTAATTTAAACATATACTATGTTAGGCATTGAGAGATACCAGTAAGACAGATGTTTTAGCTACAGGTTTTTCATCTACAAATATCTCTACTTGGGAAAACTAATTAGAGGACTGGTTAAACACTTGGCACAATGGATATTTTGCAACCATTATAAGGGATGAGATAGTTCTATATGTCATTTGCCAAGACACATTAATGGAGAAATGCATGTTGCAGAACAGTATATTGAGGTCCTACAGGTATTTATGTAGTCAAAGTTCTGGAAAGTTATCTACCAATCCATAGCAGTGTCTTTGGAGAGATGCTAGGAACTTTACTTTCTGATTTTTGAAGTCTTTAAATATATATGCAGTAGATCCCCCTTACCCGCTTCGCTTTTTATAGGTCCAGTCAGTTGCAGTCCAGAAACAAATGAGTCTACTTTTAATATATATTCTCAGGTCAGTAGTAGCTCAGGAAATTGAGCTCACAATGCCTTTATTCACCTCGTTTTATCTCACCACATAAGCATTTTACATCTCACATCATCACAAGGGTGAGTACAGTACAGTTAGATATTTTGAGAGAGACCACATTCACATAGCTTTTATTACTGTATACTGTTGTAATTGTTCTAATTTATTATTAGTTATTGTTAAACTCTTATTGAGCCTACTTTATAAATCAAACTTTATTATAGGTATGTATGTACGCATAGGAAAAAACAGTATAGTTAGGGTTTGGTACTATCTGAGGCATCTCCACTGGAGGTCATGGAACAGTCCCCATGGATAAGAGTGGGGTACTACTGTATGTGTGTGTGTGTGTGTGTGTGTATTTTTTTTAAATGAACAACTTCTATAGGTTCCCCACTGACTACATGAGGTCTACACTTCCTTTTTTTTTTTTTTAAGATTTTATTTATTAATGAGAGACAGAGAGAGGCAGAGACATAGGCAGAGGGAGAAGTAGGTTCCATGCAGGGAGCCCGATGTGGGACTCAATCCCGGGGCGTCAGGATCACACCCTGGGCCTAAGGCAGGCGCTAAACCGCTGAGCCACCCAGGGATCCCCAAGGTCCACATTTCCAATTAGTGGTTGTGCTTCACAATCTGACCATATCTCACCTCAGACCAAATCCTACTGTCCCCTTGAAATTACATTCATCCAGCACCGATCTGCTGTTCCTGGAACACACTAGGCCCTTTAAGATTTGGGTGACATTGAACTTACTCTTTGCTTTGCCTAGAATGTCTGGAAAGGAAAACATTCTCTAAGCTTCCCTAACAGGCAAGCAGAGTTAGTTACTTTATATGTTATATTCCTTTCTTTATACCTCTTATCAAACTTAACTTGCTCATAACCTTTTACATTTTCAGATAAATTTATTTATATATTGTAAAGATATAACATATTTATATAAGTACATATGTTCTAAAGTTGATTAGTGTTTTTATTATACATATATACATACATATATTCATACAGTAGTATATATACATACAGTTGTCCCCCATAAATATATTAATATAATTAAATGTTAAATGCTGATGTTAACCTTGATCACTTCATTAAGGTAGCATTGATTAGGTTTCCCCACTGTAAGCTTCTCAGGAAGTTATCCCCTTTCCAAACTTCTTTGGTTTGTGAACTTTATAGTACGATAGTTAGAACTAATGTTAAATGCAACTGTATTAGCTGGGAAACCCAGAGAGACTGGAAACTGGAAGGCCAGTTACAGTTAGTGCTGATAACAGTTCAAGTGAGAGGCAACAACTGTCTGAACTTGCAGTGGCAGTGGCGGTGGAGAGGACTGGAGATACCCAAGCTTTTATGGGCAATGGGGTGGCTTACAGTAGCTTTAAAGGAAGCAGACCAAAACCATAATGAGATACCACTTCATATTCAGTGGAATGGCATAATCAAAAAGTCAGATTATATTAAGTGTTGGTGAGGATATGGAGAATTTAGAATCCTTAAACACTGCTGCTAGGAATGTAAAATGGTACAGCCACTTAGGAAATGTTTGGCAATTCCTCAAAAATTTAAGCATATTTACCATTTAGTGCAGCAGTTCCACTAATAGGTATATATCTAAGAGAAATAAAAAATATGTACACACATAAACTTACATGCTCATAATAGCATTATTCATTATATCCAAATGGTGGAAACCACTTGAATTTTCAAATGATGAATGGATAAAAAGTGGTATATTCATACAATGAAATAGTTGGCCATAAATAGGGATGAAGCATACGATAGATATAATAATGAACCTTGAAAACATGCTAAGTGAAAGAAGAGTCACAAAATATCACATAGAATTCAGTTTCTTTGAAATGTCCAGAATAGGCAAATCTATAGACAGAAAGTAGATCAGTGGTTTCTTTGGGCTAGTGGATGGTTGTGGTGGTGGAGGGATTGGGCATGATAGGAAAAAGGTACAGGGTTTCTTTTTGGGGTGATATGTTCTAAAATTGATTATAGTGTTGGTGTACAACTCTGTGAATAAACCTAAAAGCCACAGAATTGTATAGTTGAAATAGGTGAATCATATGTGAATTGTATCTTGACAAAATTATTTACAAAGAACACACAGAAGGCTGCACACATTCAAACTACACTCATTGAAGCTAAAGTGCTGGTGGGATATCTAGGTGCAGATGTTGAGCAGCTCAGAAGTGAGGTCAGGACTGGAGATATGGCACCATAAATAGAAAGGATTCACTTAATGGAAAGCAAGATATCCTATTCATTTAGTCCAATTTACTAAGCATAGTAGTTCAAGGGAAGGTTTTAAGTAGGACACCTTATTTATTTTAAAGATTTATTTATTCATGAGGGACACACAGAGAGAGACAGAGACACAGGAAGAGGAAGAAGCAGGCTCCCTGGAAGAAGCCCAATGTGGGACTCGATCCCGGATCTTGGGGTCACACCCTGAGCCCAAGGCAGATACTCAACCAATGAGCCATCCAGGCGTCTGAAAGTAGGACATTTTAACAGAATTGTCAGAGGTTAACACAACATAGGACACAACTTTCTCTGGCATTCAAGACAACACTGTTTTTGAGACTGGTTGATGTCCTTCCTAAACCTAAATTTCAACTGTAATGGTTTTCACTTCCTATATTTTACTATAAGTGGCTAATGGCAAGGTTCCTTAAGTAATTTGTAGAATATTTTGGGATAAAAGTTGAAATTGAAGAGATTATCAATTTCAAATTTTGTATACCCAACGTGGGACTTGAATTTACAACTCCAAGATTAAGAGTCACATGCTCTACCAAATGAACCAGCCAGGTGTCTGTAAAAGTATTTTTGGTATAATTTACAATCTAAATGGATTTAGAATTTGTTTATCCAGGGCACCTGGGTGGTGTAGTGGGTTAAGTGTCCACCTTCGACTCAGGTCATGATCCCAAGGTCCTGGGATCCAGCCTCATGTCAGGCTCCCTGCTCAGCAGGGAGTCTGCTTTTCTCTCTCCCTCTGCCTGCCACTCCTCCTATTTTTGGTCTATCAAACAAATAAATAAAATCTTAAAAAAAAAATTATGTTCTCAGTGAAGAGAATGAGTCAAGCCATAAAACTCGACTGGCCAAATGAATCCCGTTATTCTGCTTTACTCTCTATCCTACACTTGCCACATCCCTACCTGCTCACTCCTAATGTTACTTTGTGGTATGAAGTACAAGAAAACAGGAATTTCATACTGACAGTTGAAAGGAAGAAAAGAAAAATCAAATGATTTCATCAACTGTTTTAATGATCAGATATCCCTTATTTGGCATTAGTAAATTCAGTTTTAAAATGCTGAGAAAGAGGTACTGTGATGGTTAATATATCAACTTAACTGAGCTAAGGGAAGTCCAAATAGCCAGTAAAACATTATTTCCGAGTTGTGTCTGTGAGGGTATTTCCTGAAGAGATTAGTGTCTGAAATCAGTAGGCCTTTACCAAATAGGTGGGTATCATCCAGTATGTTGAAAACCCAAATAGAACAAAAAGGTGGGGGAAGAACGAATTTGCTCTCTTCCAGATCTGGGATGTCCACTCCTTCAGTCCTCAGATATTGGAGCTCCTGGTTCTTGGGCCTTCAGACTCTAGGACTTACACCAGTGGCCTCCCAGTCTTCAGGTCTGGGTCTGCAAGTTATATCAGCTCCCCTGATTCTTAGACTTTGGAACTCTAACTGTATTACCCCACCAGTTTTCCTGGTTCTCCAGCTTTCAGATGAGTGATGCTGGGGACTCCTGGGCTTCCACAACCATGTAAGCCAATTCCTATAACAAATCTTCTCATACACACACACACACACACACACACACACACTTATGGTATTTATGGTTCTTTTGGTTCTGGTTCTCTGGAGGATTCTAATATTGATAACTCACAAATTAGAAAAGATGTAGAATTCTGTTTCCTCTTGTAATTCATTTTTTTTTTTTTTTAGAGTGTCAAGGAAGTAATTCACATAATGTAGTTTATGAAGTAGCAAGGAAATTCTTTACAGTCAGCCCGGGGTTTCATTTGGTAGGTCTAAGTTCTAACCTTACAGCTTTGAAATTCCAGGTCTGTGTTTGAATACATGACTAAAAGAATAAGAATGAAATTATCAACAGTATGTACCATTTCAGCCTTTATTAGTAAAACAGAAAACTAAATTCAAGGCAACTGCTTTGTTCTTGCATCTGATCTGACCATATTACTGGAGACGGGATTCTTTAGGAGGACTTAAGTTTCAATATACAGACAGGTTTCATCAAAAGTGGGATATTGCAGTATCTCATAAGGTTAGGTAAATGAAATAAAAAAGAACAAGTTAAATATTAAAAATCACAGAAATCTCCCTCAAATATCAGGGGTTTACTATGACAGTCTTCAATGTGCTCATCAAGATCAATCATATTGCACAACCCCCAAAGGAAAAAACTGAGGAAACTCATGGGTAATTTTCACAGCTTCATTGTAAAGGCCAAGATCTGAAAAAAACATTTTAGCAAACATTTAGCAAAGATGTAACATTTATTTTCTAAAAGATTTCTACCTATTTTTCTTTTTTTTGCCTTTTAGAGATCAACTTATTATCACAATCTATCTTCTAAAACAGACAAGGATCAAATGTTTATCTGTGGCTCTAAAAAATAAAAGACATGGGCAACTATTCATTTTGATATGCATTCTCCAGGCAGCTCTTGCCTGGTTTTAGGTGTTTTGCATTATTTGATGCTTTTGATACATATTTTGATGCTTTTGATACATATGTTAAAACAAACAAAAAACCATTAAATTTTTGTTTGCAGTATGTTTTGAGTCTCCCTTCCCACAAAGTAATCTTTACTGAGTTTCCTACATATACAAGCATTACTTAAAAGTGGGCGAAAATGTTCTCCCATTTTCCTCTGGGTTCAGAAGATTCCATAGAAATTGAAAGATGGGGACAGCCCGGGTGGCTCAGCGGTTTAGCGCTGCCTTCAGCCCAGGGTGTGGTCCTGGAGACCTGGGATCAAGTCCCACATCGGGCTCCCTGCATGGACCCTGCTTCTCCCTGTGCCTGTGTCTTTACCTCTCTCTCTCTCTCTCTCTCTCTCTCTCTCTGTGTGTGTGTCTCATGAATAAATAAATTAAAACAAAACAAAAAAAAGAACTTGAAAGATGGTAGGACCGAGACTCAAGACCAAGACATCTCAAGCTAAAAATAAAATTGTTTTCCTCCTAATTACATGAAACTACTAAATACTACAATGCTTTATTTACCGAAAGGATGGTTATCTTCTTTAAACTGGACATATGATGCACACATAATGGTTGCCTTGGCCGTTACTCTTCCAACTACTTCCACGATTCCAGAGATTTCTTCATCAAGCTAACACACAAAGAACAAATTGTCAACTTGGTGTTGTCACATTTTTGGTTGATAACTGGGAAAATTGTTACAATTTACTAATTTTTCATTTCATGTAACAAAAACATCTTAAAATATATCAGTGCAAAAACCGAACCGTAAGTTGCTAAAAATGTTTGAGTACTTAATGTCAGCATGTCCAGTCCTATTACCTTTAGCAGTAGCTTCAGGTCCAAAGATCCAGTTAAGTGTTTAGTTGAAGACAAAATCACTTAAAGATAGTGAGAATGTCCACCATTTCTACAAGGAATAGTTTGTTTAAAAGAACCCATTGAAAAAAAATAAAAAAAAAAAAAAAAAAAAAAAAGGGATCCCTGGGTGGCGCAGCGGTTTAGCACCTGCCTTTGGCCCAGGGCGTGATCCTGGGGACCCAGGATCGAATCCCACGTCGGGCTCCCGGTGCATGGAGCCTGCTTCTCACTCTGCCTGTGTCTCTGCCTCTCTCTCTCTCTCTGTGACTATCATAAATAAATAAAAATTAAAAAAAAAAAAAAATAAAAGAACCCATTGAAAGGAAACTTCTATTTTCTATCTCTGTATTCTGTATATGTTAAGCAAGTAGCACATAGATTTGTCTTCATAAAAAAAAAAATTATTTTTTGAGTACAATAAATGTAAAATCTTAGAACAAGTGATAACTGAAGGTACATGTAAACAAAAACAGAAAATACAATTTTAAAAATGTAAAATTCTTGAGGAAGGATAAAATGATTTAAACAAAAGATTTTTTTTTTTAAAGATTTTATTTATTTATTCATGAGAGACACACACACAGAGAGAGAGGCAGAGACACAGGCAGAGGGAGGAGCAGGCTCCATGCAGGGAGCCCAATGTGGGACTCGATCCCGGGTCTCCAGGATCACGCCCTGGGTCAAAGACAGGCGCCAAACCACTGAGCCACCCAGGGATCCCACAAAAGATTCTTTTAATGTGATTTTGTGGTCTTTCATAGGAATAGGAATTATCACCCAGTTAAGGGATGTATTAAAAAATCATGGAGCCCAAAGAATTATTGGTTAGAAATGTAAAGGGATAGGGATCCCTGGGTGGCGCAGCGGTTTAGCGCCTGCCTTTGGCCCAGGGCGCGATCCTGGAGACCCCGGATCGAATCCCATGTCGGGCTCCTGGTGCATGGAGCCTGCTTCCCCTCTGCCTGTGTCTCTGCCTCTCTCTCTCTCACTGTGTGCCTATCATAAATAAAATAAAATTAAATTAAAAAAAAAGAAATGTAAAGGGATATATAATGTAAGAAGAGGAGCTAAGTTTAATTTTAGAGCAGAGAAGTTTTATAAGCTGGTCCTTTATCCATCTACTCCAAGAATCAGAAACATCAGCAAGATACAGAATAAACTACAAGATACACAGAATTAATACTTAAACATACGGGCTCCATCAACTCAATGGTTCCATTTTTTCCTTCTCCATCTGAAAGAATAAACATTTTTCCAGTGGGATGAATCTAAAAGAGAAACACAGTATTAAAAAAAACAACCACATAAACAAAACAAACTTTAAAAATCTCATTAAAATAAAAATATTAAAAGTTTGACAGAAGCAAATTGACCCAAACATATTTAGTCAATGCACACAAATCAACGTTTTGTTTTTTTTGTTTTTTTGTTTTTTTTAAATCAACTGTTTTTGAACAAAACCTGGGGCCCCTGGATGGCTCAGTGGTTGAGCCTCTGCCTTTGGCTCAGGTCCTGATCCTAGGGTCCTGGGATGGAGTCCCCCAGCCGGCTTCTCACAGGGAGCTGCTTCTCCTTCTGCCTGTGTCTCTGGCTCTTTCTGTGTGTCTCTCATGAATGAATGAATGAATGAATGAATAAATAAATAAATAAATCTGGCAACCCTGTGCTAACAACAAATTAAAGAGGATCCATCCTGACGGTGGGATCTTCCAGTACTCATGAGTTAAACAGTATGTATTATACCACAGGGTGTGTTTTAAAAATTACACCTGCGGGGGGTGGGGTGGGGGTGGTTCCTGCTTGGTTAGGTCCTAGAGCCTGGCACTCTTAACCTCAGGGTGGTGAGTTTGAGCTCTACCTTGAGGGTAGAGATTACTTAAAAAAAAAAAAAATTAAGCATGATGAGGTAAAGAGAACTGGTTGTCAGAAGACTTGGGTTCTACTACAGACAGTTGTAAAGAGTGCGGTCAGATCTGGTTTGAAGCTGTGGCCTTAAGAAGTTAACCATACACTACTCCTACCCGGTTTCCCCTACCTGCGGGGTCGAGCAACACCTATTTCAGGATCAAGGCTGGAATGAGCTGCTAAGAGTTTACCCTAGACCCCGCCCCCCGCCCCCCACCCCCTCCCAAGCTTTCTCGGTTCACGGATTCCCAAGCTTCGGGCCTGCCCGTCATCAGCAGGGTGAAGGTGCTGCATCGAACACCGGCATAAGAAAACGGGCCGCTGTGGGGGCTGGAAGGGACGATCGAAGAAAGTTCATGGCGAAGTGACTTGAACGAGAAAACGAAGTCTGAGAAAAGACAGAACTGCGTGACGAACAGAGCAGTTGAAACGTCTGGCTGAACTAAGACACGTAGAGTCGGGTCTCTAGTTTTCTTCTCGTTATCTACAAACGAGGGGCCGGAGTGGGGGGCGCTAGTATTTAGAACGCAGCGCTCCCGAAAACGTCACGACGCCGCGCCCTAAAGCTGGCGCCAAAATGGGGCTGCAGTGCCCAAAAAGAGCGCAAGAAGTCCCCTGGCGTAAAACGAAGCACCCAGGAGCGCAGCGATGCTCCACAGCCCGTCCGCCTTCACCCTCCCTTCCCACCCTCAGGCTGCCGCCCCGCGGCCTCGGGGCCCCCCTCGTCCCCCCGGTGCAAAGCAGGGAGCCCAGGGCAGCGGCGGCGCGCACCTTTTCCAGCCTCCCCACGAAGCAGACCGGCTTGTCGATGAACTGAGCGAGCATGCTGGCATTGATGCGCGACTTGGGCAACTCCATGATGTCCACCATGGCTGCGGCGCGAGCCCCGCGGCCGGCAGGAAACGCGGCGACCAGGGGCGCAGGACGCCGGCGCCAATCGGCGGAGGCCGGCACTCTCCCTCCACCAATCAAAGGCGCGGAAATTGCGATCGCGATCGCGCAGTCCCCGGAGCGGCCCCCGCAGGGCGGGCCGCTTCCGGAAGTGGGGATCGGCTGCCTAGTGACGCGCGGCGTCCCGGAAGGTGCCCGGGTCCTCCGCGGACTGGGCCGCGGAGGCGGGGCTTGGACCGGGCGGGTCGGCGGCTGCCGCCCGGCGAGATCCCGGAAGCAGGGTGTTGGGCTCCTGTGCGGTGGCGGCGGGGGACTGCGGCGCGAGCCTCAGGTAGCTCTTCTCGCGGGAGGCGCCGCAACCGCGCTGTTTCCCTTTCTCCCTCTCGGTCGACGGATGCGGAAGAGAGAGGCGGGACTCGGGTCCTGTCCTGCCGCGGCTTTCTCGGTGCTGCGCACCGGCTCTTCGCGGTTCCCCGCCTCCTTCCCGGCTTCCCGGATCTGCGTGGGGAGCGCGGGGTTCGTGCTGCAGTCGAGGGATCGGGCGTGTTTTGACGGCGGCCCCTCCTGGGGACGGCGGGCGGGGTCGCCGGTGACCCTTCACTGCCTCTGTCGGGCTCCTGCCGCTCACCCGCAGAGTCTGTGACTTAACGGCTCAAGCTGCGTCACTTGCCCTTCTGTCCCTCACCTGTTAGCAGAAGGGTTGGCCTCGTTATTTCTAGGACCCTTTGTAGCCCTGACAGCCTGGCCGCCCTAAGGACGTGAGACCTCCTCCGTGTTAGCAACAAACTAGCTTTTGGGAATGGGTTGTGGTTGGGGGGAGAGGATCACCGAGCTGGGAGAGGAGACGACTTTAAAGAATTGTTAGGTCCTGGACCGGTGAGCTCCTCCTTGAGATATGATTTCCCTATCAAAAAACGAAGGGGTTAGGTAGCATGATCGTTTTGCAAAATCCCTGCGAAGTTTTTGCCCATGTGGTTCACGGACCCGTCCTGACTTCCCGGTGATGTTCCCCCCCGTTGCACCTCGCGCCCCAGGACTTGGAGGCCGGGAAGATCACCTGTTCCAGGGACATTCGGGAGGAGGGGGATTCTTGAATCTGTCGCTGGTTCATGTTTTTGTTTTTGTTTTTGTTTTGTAGGTTTGGGGACTTTTTTGCTGGGATTGGTACCGCCTTGCCAGGAACTTTCTAGAATGAACGCTCATTAAAAAATGGGGGGAAACCAACAACTTTTCATTTGTAAAATGAGTGTGGATTTTCCTAAAACCTCCAGGTTGTCACTATTCGAATTTAGGTACTAGACGGAGTCTCCCAGGATTCTCCCAATTTTGTCTCATAGTTGCCTTAAGCAAAGACGACTCTTTTTGAGACTTCATGCTGCAATTTAAGAGAGAGATCTAAGCACCTTAATTAAATGATAGGCTCCCTCAGTGTTTATTTAGCTGAATATGTTTGTCTTTTCATTCCATGGTCACTAAAACAGATTTAAAGGATTCCGTTAGTACGGTGCATGTTGTTTGTTGTATTGCAAGAATGGTTGTATTTTGTACAAATCAATCGAGTCTGCATTTTTTTTGAGGAAAGCCTTGACGTCTTTTGCACTTCGGAGTTGCTTTGGAAAACAAATTGATGTTCATTATATACCATAGATCGAGGGTACCCATGAATATCCTTAATAGCAGCCCTTAACCTGTCAGATGGTAATGTCATTATTTTATTATACTTAAAAGATCACTTTTACATACCAGTGGCCTTTTCTTAAAATTAAAAAAAAAAAGGAAAAACAAAGATGAAGACTTAGAAGATAATTTTAAACGTCGTTTTTTGGATAGTTTTTGAGTATTTTTTATATTATTTTTTTAAAATTTATTTATTTATTCATGGAGACAGAGGGGGGCGGGTGGAGAGGGGCAGAGACACAGGCAGAGAGGGGAGCAGGCTCCATGCAGGGGGCCCGACATGGGACTCGAATCCGAGACTCCAGGATCGCGCCCTGGACCGAAGGCAGCGCTTAACCGCTGAGCCACCGGGGCTGCCCATGAGTAATTTAAAATGTATTATGCAATACATAATGCACATAGACGAGTATATATAGGTATTATGTATCCTTTCCAGAGAAATTAGATGAACTCACATGGATCCCTCATTCATCTTAAGAAATGTAACTTACGGGCAGCCCTAGTGGCGCAGCGGTTTGGCGCCTGCCTTTGGCCCAGGGCGCGATCCTGGAGACCCAGGATCGAGTCCCACGTCGGGCTCCCTGCATGGAGCCTGCTTCTCCCTCTGCCTGTGTCTCTGCCTCTCTCTCTCTATGTCTCTCATGCATAAACAAATAAAATCTTAAAAAAAAGAGAGAGAGAAATGTAACTTAGCCAGTTAGTAGTTTGCAGTTCTTCAGTTAAATCATCCTCTAGAGGAACCACAAATAAACACTATCTTGACTTTTTTGCTAAGCACCCTAGGCTTTTCTATATAGTTTTATCACACATCTCCGTATTCTTAAATGGTACGTTTCATTTTGCTGGGTTTGACCTTTATATAAATGGAATCATACCATATATATCCTCTGACTTGTTTCTTTTGTTTGTTTTGAGATTAATCCATGTTGGCATATGTGGGTAGAGTTCATTGTTTTCATTCAGCTATTTTGCTCTGTTATTGGCTGACATTTTGCTTGTTTACAGTTCTTTTCTGTTGCTGTGAATGTTCTTGTACCTATTAGTTGGAGCAGTTGTGCAAAGGTATATTAGTAGAATTGCTGGAAGTTAGGGTGTGCATCTTCAGCTATACTAGTAAAATCAAATACAGTTAACCTTTGAACAACAGGTTTGAACTGCATGGGTCTACTTCTATGCAAATTTCTTCAATAAATATAGTACAGTACTGTAGATATATTTTCTCATGATTTTCTTAATATTTTCTTTTTTTCTGGCTTACATATTGTAAGAATACAGCATATAATATGTATAACATACAAAGTATACATTAATCAATTGTTTATGGCTTCTGGTAAGGCTTCCTTTTAATAGATTATTAGTAGTTAAGTTTTGGGGAGAGTCCAGAATTATATGTGGATTTTCAACCGTTGGGGTGGATGGGATGCATATACCAACCACCCATTGTTCAAGGTCAACTGTACTGTGCTAGAAATAGTTGTACCAATGTATTCTTTTATCAGAAGTATAGGAGAATTTCAGTTGATCCATATTTTTGGCAACTCTTAAAAGTTTTTTTTACCCCTGATCTGATGGATGTAAAGTGGTTTCATATTGTGGTCTTAATTTGCTTTCCCTGATTACTAAAAGATTTAACAGGGGCACCTGGGTGGCTCAGTGGTTGACCATCTGGCTTGGGCTCAGGTCATGATCCTAGAGGCCTGGGATCAAGTCCCACATTGGGCTCCTGTCAGGGAGCCTACTTTTCCCTCTGCCTGTGTCTCTGCCTCTCTTTCTGTGTGTCTCATGAATAAAGAAATAAAATCTTTAAAAAAAAAATTGAACAACTTTTCAAATATTTAATGGCTAGTTGTGTTTGTCATTTTGTTGTTATTGGGGTTTTTTTCTGTCTTTTTTTTTTTCCTTTCTTTCATTGGAAAGAGTTCTTTAAATATAGTTAAAATGCTTTTCCCTTTTGTTTAATATAGTTGAAAAAGTCCATTTAAAAAATCTAAGAATAGGAACTCCTGGGTGGCTCAGCGGTTGAATGCCTGCCTTCGGCTCAGGCAGTGATCCTGGAGTCCCAGGATCAAGTCCCACATCAGGCTCCCTGCATGGAGCCTGCTTCTCCCTCTGCTTGTGTCTCTGCCTCTTTCTCTTTGTCATTCTCATGAATAAATAAATAAAATCTTAAAAAAATTAGGAATGTTTTCATATTAAATACATTATATATATTTATTTATTATTATTCTTTAAATATTTTATTTATTGATGAGAGACACAGAGAGAAAGAGGCAGAGACATAGGCAGAGAGGGAGAAGCAGGCTCCATGCGGAAGCCAGATGCGGGACTCGATCCCGGGACCTCGGGATCACAACCTGAGCCAAAGGCAGACGCCCAACCACTGAGCCACCCAGGCATCCCGACATTATATATTTAAAACTGTAGTTTTGCCTTTCCTTTTTAAAAAATACTCCATCATTTAGAATTGCATTTTTATGCATGTTGTCAGGTAGGTATCCAATTTCTTTTGGTTTTTTTTTTTCATTTCCGTTGTCCCAGCATTATTTATTGATTACATCACCATTTGCAACCAACCTTTGGCATCACCTAAGTTTTCATCTCTGTGTGCTCCTCAGCCCCAGTTCTGTTCCATCGGTCTATTTGTCCCTGCACCAGGACCACTCTCTTCAGTACTGTAGTCTTATGATCATTTTTGATGTCTGGGGGGCAAATTTTTTGTCTTGCTGTGTTCTTCAGGAGTGACTTTGTTATTCTTGCCTCTTTGTGACTATCTATAAATTTAGCTTATTGAGGTCAATGAAAAACCATGTTGAGATTTGATCATAGTTGCATCAAATCTTTGGATTGATTTCAGAAGTAACATCTTAACAACCACTCTTACTCTTCTTGACCTAATTAACATCCTTCCAAAAATTTTCAATACAAAATTTTTGACTTTTAGATTAGATTTATTCCTAGCTACCTTGCTGTTGTTGCTAATATAAATGGTATATATATATATATATATATATATTTTTTTTTTTTTTTTTTTTTAAGGTAAAGATTTTAACTGATTGTTGCAGGTACACAGAAGTGCATTTGACCTTCTTTCTGGCCATCCTGCTAAATTTTTATTTCTAGTAATATAGTATAGGATTCTTTAGGTTTTCTAGTCATATGTGAATAATTATAGATTTATTTCTTAACCACTCTTGCATATTATTATTATTTTTCCTTTACCCAGTTTAGAGCTTCTAGTACCATTTGCATACAAGTAGTGTTTCAGGTAAGATGGTGCTTGACTGTATAAGTTAAAATATCTTAAATACACAAAGTCTTAGTTTCACATGTTAAAAAAGTCCAGAGGCATGCAACTCAGCATACAGCTGTGTGGTAATGCCTCTAAGACATCAGGGACCCAGGTTCCTTTTGTCTTTCTCGTCTATGATTCTCAATATCTGGCTCCATTCTTAAGCTCACTTCATAGGCCAGGAGAGGTGCTGAGCACCAGCCATCTTGTCTCCTTCCCAGGCAGTGGAGAAGTGGGCAGGCCAAAGGGACACATCTCCCTTTAAGGAGCCTTTCTGAGAGTTCCCACAACTTGAAGTTCTACTTATTAGGTTAAAGACTTTCCCTTCTATTCCTGCTTTGATAAGAGTTTTAATTGAGTGGCTG